ACTCATTTCCGGCATTCCGCATGTAAATGTAAAGAGGAAATCTAGTAAGTGTATATTTTCTGTATCTTTGTGTTTTCTAACCTGATTTGTATTCACTTCGTGATTCAGTGGGCAGGATTTAACGTAACTTACAAGCATCCTTGTTTGGTACTTAACCTCTCCAAAAGAATAAAGAAATTTATATTTAGAATTTTAATACGGATACTCTAGTCCTCTCACACAATAATTGGCACCGACTTTCACATATTCAAGGTGGTAACACGGCCACACTGTAAATCGTCATTCCAATAAGGCTGGTGTAGAGTGAAGTAGGTGGTGTAGTTGAGTGGGGAGGGGGAAACAATTACTTTAGTGGCTCTAAAACAAAGGAGCTACTAGAACCCACCCAACAAAGCAATCAGCTAGCTGTACACTACCCTAATTCCGACATGGGAACTAGTTAGGGATAAGAAGAAGAAAAAGGAATACAAAGTAGTTGCTAACGAGAACAATAAAGTATTCTCTGAAAGGCGTTGGGGGATGGGGGTGTCTGAATAGTCAAACATTTCTTCAAGACTTATGACTTCGGCGATTACTGGCTACTACCTACGTGCACTTGACGTTGAAATGGTGTACGTCACCGGTCCAATCCTGATATTCTTAATTCGTGTGCCTTTCTACACATTAAAAAATAATGTTAGGAAAAATCATCTAATAGCAGCTGACATATTTTTCATGTTTTGTTACAGGTATTAAATACTGTGTGTTTATAAAACAGATTTATATTATCAATGAGTTATTTATTAATGTTTACTTTTTTACTTATTAATTATTTTGTAATAAATTAATTTTTTATAATTTTGTATATTTATATATTCAGTTTTTTGTTTGTTTGTATTTGTATTGTAAGGTTCTTATTTTGTTAGTGCTTGGCTGTTATTGGCGTTTAGGCTGTTGTCGAGCACTTTAATAAATGAATTGAATTTAATTTATCTCGCAGAAATTATGTTTTACTAGTTTTAAAACATTTATAATATCATTAACTTTCCTGTGAATTTCAATGCACAATACTCGCGTCTATACAAATGGCAATCGTAAAAATGTGTTCTACGTATATTCTTCTTTCCTTCCACTCATCTTACACACGCACAAACAGTACTGTAACACGTGATTCTGTATTCCATAAGACAATGAAAGGTTTTTATGTACTGCTACGTGGTAAGGATAAAGCATTGGGTTATGGGCAAGCAGGGTGTGCCCGTATGTCAACTGGGTGGTATCCGAAGACTGATTTCGTTCTCCCCCGCATCTCCGCCCATCAATCTCACGGATTGATCAGTACTTTGCGCTCTCCTGCATCGCTTAGGTCATATGACAATGATCTGTTTCGTTTTCCTTGTAGACGTACGAGGTAGGTTTGTCTGCGTCTCTTCGCTTACGTGTTGGGGAAAATGTCCATCGGCTTGGGCCAGACAAATTCATCTTGAGTAAACCCATACACAGTGACTCAGCTTTTATACGGATTGACCAACTCTGACCATGAAACAAAGGCCTTCTTGAGTAGCTTTCGGCTACTCAACTGATCAGGAAATTACCTGCCTTGTTTGAAACACGAAGGTTTATTAGTATTGTCATGTAATAAACAACTATTCTCAGGTCATTATATTGAGCTAAATGAACCCAGTTAATGTCCTCATACTCCACTTCGTTAAGGTCAATTTTAACGTCCATCCATATAGTATGTGTAGTTTTTCCAAGCGGGCATTTACCCTCTGTTAATCAGATATTTAACATACTCAGAAATGAAGGCACCTATATGAGAGATGTGGACTACAGAATTCGGTGTCATTCAGACACAAGAATCAGCATAAGAGAACACAAATTAAATGTCGCCATTAATATTATTGAAACAAACTAGAAATTAATATTGATGCTGGTCCTAAACCTGTTTGAGCTCTGACACATTCGATTGGATACTCCCATCATGTTTCGCCCACAGATCGTCATCGCTTTAGATACTGATCACGTCTGTGTTTGATTCATTTAGGTATGTCGTCTTATTTGCAAAACGTAGGAACTCACCCATTGGCATATTTTGACGCTTGCAGGTTCTTGATGTGTCAACAGCCTCACTCATGGCTGTGAAACGCCATCGAATTAAAGATGAAATGCTGTTCTTAGTTGTCTTACGTGACAACAGATACAGAAAAGCTACACTAACAAAGAAACTTCCATGACAGGTATGAATTTGAAATGTTTTGTGTTATCTTTATATTTATATATTACGAGTATACGTAATCAGATAGTTAATGAATAATGTACCGAATTCTTTCATACAAGCTTAAATTAGTATTAGGTTATCGAACAATTAATTCTCTTTCAACTGCAGAGTAAAATTGCATGATGATCATAAATATTTATTGAGTACGTCACATTTGGAAGGCTGTTTGTTTACTTCAGGGTACTTTCCCGTTCATAGCATAGAAAAAAATAAGTAGAACCAGGAAGAAATTTTATCCAACATAACCTTTAAAATCGGCCCAACATGACAGGTATTCAAATCTATTAAAGGCCTATTGCCCCAGTCCTTTTTATATACGAGTAATGCGCCGTACAGGGGGTGGGCTTTCTTGAGGAGCTGATAGTCGCTCTTTTTTTTTCAGGCCAAGAGGTTTCCAGCTTTTGTGAATGTTTCACTTTCATTTCTATGTTTATAAAACTTGTTACTGGGTCCTATACTGAACGAGCTTGATTTAAGTTCACTTCAAACTGTTGCTCTCCCACAGTCCCAAATGAACTCTTGAGGCAGTCCGCCTGAAATGGTGTAAGCATGTTTAATCTCCATCCTGTATGTTACATGTCTTGACTAACTTACACTGCTGTATTAAATCATGGTAATAATAGGCTTATTAGAGCAGAATAATAATTATAAATCTCGTCACTATGTAATTGTATATGTTTCCTTTTTGCCCCTAATATTCTGCTCAGATATCTTAAATCTAAATTATTTCCGTACAATGACAGACCTTGTTTCACGTCCATAAATAACAACTTTAAAATTACAGTAATGTATGTCGTATTTTTTTCGCATTATGAGAATTGCGTGTTCTTCCCAATCTGCTCCATTTCCAAATTCCGCATTATCAGAATTTCAGTTCGTCTGTAATATTTATATTACGCCAGCTGTATATGCAATATCCACTCTACTACTTCCAATTAAGCCATTCCAGCCAATTTCCCCTTACTTCCCCCACCCCGTCCAGGATAACATGAAACGTCAATCTGGATTTTACCCCCCTCTAAAAGAAGGACTCTTAAGTGCGAGATCCACTCCTTCTTCTGATTGCACTTATCCTCCTTACAGACAGACAGACAGACAGACTGACATCCGCTGGCCGGTCATAGGCATGGAAACAAAGCTTATTCAGCTCAGATAAGACTTGATCTCATTGGGATTCTTTGGTCCATAAGAGCGAGTAGTTGCCTTTGGCTATTTGGGTGTTAGATGGACGGGCAACTTCAGAGAGTTGGGGGTTTGGAGAGCAGACGCAAAGTAAGGAAGGTTTATATTATCTGTCTGTCATAGCTAAATCCTGCGTTGTGCACCCTACATCGAAGAGGCCTTGTGATGGGCAAATTCTTCATCAGGTTTTACTAGATGTCGAAATAAGTTACAACAGTGGCAGAAAATTCTCCAGAAAGCTCAGTGTTTATAGTCAGCTATTAAGTAGTGATTGTCATAAGCCTAAATAGGTTCTGTGAACGACAAAACCCAGAAGCACTTGGTATACACACATACGCACATGCAGAGTGCATAGTTACAATTGGTTGGTAAAGAGTTAATGAGTTCTGTGAGCCAGCAACCTGGTATCCACAGGAAATCGGGAATGATTTGCGACGACGAGCCACTTAATTATATCTTCCCCGGTTTGTGTGTTCTTCATGGCATGGCGAGCCGAATTGGGAACCTCGGCGTTAAATGGCTCGTGACGTACATCCGGGACTGGAAGTGGATATAGATGTAGGCAAACAACTTGCCTTGTACGTGACGTTACAGTTCTAGAAAATAACTATTCTACTAGGCATTCAAAAAGCATTTGAACCTAAGAAGTGAACTGTTTGAATAAAAAATAATACTCTTTACCAGTGAAATGAAATCTTGAAACAAAAAACGTTCACATAAACTATGGACTCGACTTCATGACTTTAACTGTTGTCCAGAACTGAAACTTGAAATAAATGTTTCCAGAATGGCATGACTAAGACTTCTACCGCGACCGTATCTGCCCCATTTATTCACCTCGAGACGTACAGAAAACTTACTCGGCGCCACAATCATTAACTACGCAGTATTTATAAAGAGTGATCAACTTCTGTAACCCTGCACATTTTCTCCAAATGTGTTTTGTTCCTATTTTGTGTAGGGGAGATCTGGGAAACTAGAGCCAATGAAGGAACGAAGTCCATCTCATATTAATTGCTTCTTAAAGTAGCATATCTATCAGTATGGCCGACCAAGCAGCCAGAGTAGTCTACTTCAACCTGTTCTCCCTATCATAAAATAGTCACGGCCTAGTAAGCTTCTGTTTCTGGTAAACAACGAGACCATTCTCGCGTTTCTTTGTCTTGTAATCTGACGTGTTCTGTAGCGCATGAATTACGACAAATAAATTCGATCCTACGAAAGACCGGCTACCAGTGTGTTCTTTAAGTGTTTTTCGTGAATTTACTCTGAAAGCAGAATCTAGTGTGATAGTATCTTCTGATTTGCTGAATCATAATGCAGTTACGTTGAAGCTACACGTGGAAGGGAAGTGAATGTCTTTAAGCTGATGTTAAGAATCACAAGATTCAGGCCTGTACCAATGGCGACCCGAGGACCACGTGCGTTGAGTATTTCGTTTTTACTATCTGCCGTGTAAAGTGTAGATGTGTGTCAGCGTAAATTATGCTAGATACATAAATTCAGGTTGTGAATACTGCAATGGAGAGGGACTGGTTGGTGTTATTGGGTAAGAATTGAAGAAATATATTATTCTAGAATCTTTGACTGAGTTATATGTTTGTTAGAACGTGTATATGTATGTACGTACGTCAATACGTACTTACGTTCTTACATATGTTTGTGTGTACGAACATTTGTATTCATAAGTAGGATTTGAGTACGAAGCTGGCTGCCTTATGGATTGTAGCTCTGTGCCTGAGTGAGGCAGCAAGGACCTCTGAAACGCTGGTAAATTTTAACAAGATTGCACGGTGCTAAAGCCCAGCATACAGCCATATTCATTCGTATGCAAGTATGTTACTTTACGTTCTTTGGTTACGACGTGATTTGTAATTGGAATCAATTGTGTTATAAGTTATGTTATGTTTGGTTTTCGGGTTAGGTAGGCCGTATTTTAATTTAACGCCTTGACATGTGAGAATTTATATTCAGGTAGGTTAGGTTTCAGCTGATGAATTTTACTCTTGATGGCCCCCTCTGATGTTCTAGTACTGTGCTGCACGAGTATGAGGTATGTGAAGGAGTGGGGATGTACTGTAGAATGACTT